GGAAAGCACTATGCATTTTGTATTCTTCATTGATTTTACCATACTTAGAGTATGGCGTTGAAAACTGTGGAAATACATACAAAAGCTCACTTCAACCATTGTATATATTACAAAAAAGAGCGATAAGAATTGTGCATAAGATGGGGTATAGGGATCACACCAATGTAGCTTTCATACAGTCTAAATTGTTAAAATTGTTTGATTTAGTGGGATATCAGACTGCTGTGTTTATGTATAAAGCCAGGAACAATTTATTACCTGGTGGAATTCAAAAACTATTTAATGAAAGGGAAGGGGGATACAATTTAAGGGGTCAGTTAAATTTAAAAATTCATGCTATACGTACAACCAAAAAAAGATTTTGTATTTCCATAAGTGGGGTAAAACTATGGAATAATTTAAGTGTAGACATAAAAAATAGTAATAGAATTGATGAGTTTAAACATAAATATAAAGGTATGTGTCAATCAAGATATATGCAAGAACAGGCTCAATGATTAATCAGATGGAACATTGTGGGTGTGGTGTATGAATGTTAATACTCTGTAATATTTCTTTAGTATATTACTTGTGTGGTGTAGAAGATAATTATTTAAGAATGTAATTATGTAAGAATGTTAACAATCTTAGAAAATTTTTTAGTATATTACTTGTGTGGTGTAGAACAAAATTATCTATGTAGAGATACTGCTTGAAAACCAATGATGGTAAGATGATGTCATGGGGTAGGACTGGATAAGTCTGACTTCTTCCTACTCCATTCAAGCATGTACTAGGTATAAGCACATTGATAATGGATTAGCATTTGTTGGATATGTGTGAAATTATGTGTGTTGACACATATCCACAATCTTTACTTGCTTGAAAGAATAAATCAATCAAAACAACATGTTTAAATCCAGTGGCTTCATTTAACTGGCTCTCCAGCAGATAGAGTTAACAGGAGCTGTGGCTAAACAGGGAGATGAAGCAAGTCAAAAGAAACAACTAGAATCCGGCCGTTGTTGCAGTAAATTACCCACAAACTCTGAGTTGTTGCACAAACATAACTGCTCTACAGACATGGCAGTCAGACTGAAAAATAAGTTTAACTCCCATAGTTTTACTGCTGTGAGACAGGTACTACAACATCCAGCCTTATTCTATTTCCTGCTTTGAGACAGTGAATTGAAGTGAAGAGTAGAAAATGTCTGAAAAGACCTGCTGTAGCAGCAGGGCTGACCTGACCTCAGTGCAGAAAAGGAGTGGAGTAGCTCAGGGCAAGGGGGATAACCACTGTCTGTTGTTGCATCTATTTCATGTTTAGTGCATTGGAGCAGGGAGTCTAATGTATTCGACTGGGAGGCTGGATGAGGGCATCGTGCAGCTGCATGAGAAGGGTCAGTGATAGTCTAAATGTTAAAGAGAGGTTTTAACAAGAAAGGCTGTGGTCTCAGTACCGGTTGGGAAAATGTGGGTAAGAAGTGATGCTCTCTTTCAGAAGCCTTTGTATAAATCTTTAAAGCTGCATTAACTAATTTCTCCCTCTAATTCCTGACTGTTAAGGGCAAAGTGAAAGTCACCCTTTTCCCTCCGCTCCACGTCGCCCCCCTGCCCTGTCGGCCAGGTCCGGCCGTATAGGCAAATGCTAAGGGCGCCGTACATCCAGGGGGCACCAGAAATGGAGGAAGAAAAAAAGTGTAACTTCCACTATTCTTAAAACTAGACTTCAGAAAAGAATAAGCCCACCACATTAATTTAACTGCATAGCAGCAAAGCCTACTAAGTAGTAGTAGTAGTAGTAGTAGTAGTAATAATAATAATAATAATATA